TGCTCTGAGGAACCTTGTAGTAATGAATTTTTATTTTACTGTTAGGGGTAACCAATAAATTTTTATTTAAATCAATACTAGCCTTTAACTTTTTTAGGTTATCGAGCCCTAATAAACATTGAAATTTATCATGAAATTTAAATATAGAATATTTTAGGTAAATTGGTTTCTTGTATCCAAAAATTTCTGATGAAGGCATTGCCGTACAATAATTTTCCTGTGTAGTACCGTGAGCGGTCGAAATTTGAAAAGGTTCGAATTTAATCATTTTTTTAAAATACATGTCAGCAGTTTCAGGTAATAAAAATGATCTGGTAGATCCTGTATCGATAAGAACCTTTAAATCAAATTCCGGGAAAATTATGTAGGGTAATTGGCTTTCATTGTTTGTTAAATTAAGTAATTCAAAATTTTTTATTCTGTTTTTTTCCGAGGCAATTTTCCCTAAAAAATTGTCTTTGGTATCTTCAGGAATTTCAACTATTGTTGCTCATCTATAGTGTGTAATTCTTCAACAAAAAATTTTTGATTTTGATTTTGTCTAAAATAATTTGGATTTTGATAATTTTGATTAGGCCTAAATGTATTTCTTGTAGACGTACTCATTGGAGTAGGTTTCGGAAAAGTTTGATTTGGATTTGGCTTAAATATATTTGTCCTTTTATCAAAATTAGTATTATTATTTATTTTACTAGTATTAGGTTGTGATGGATTATAAAAATAATTTTGTCTAACAGGCGGTTGAGAGTTATGAGAAAAATTAGTAATTTGTAATTGTTTATTTGTGTTTCTATTTTCAAGAAAACTATTCCTAGGCACAAATTTACCCTTATAAGTATTTAAATCTTCAATATTGTTTTGGAAGTCATTTGTTAACATATTTAACGCGGAATTTAGATCTGCAGGATTTTTGGTGCGCATAAGTGAACCCAGTGGTTCCTTTAAACCACGTAACAATACTCTGAGAGCCAAATTACGACAATAAATTGATAAAGTAACTATTTCATGCCCAGCAGTATGAGCTTTTATATTAGAAATTTGAAGATTTAATAAGTGCTGTATTTTATTAAAAAAATCAAAAGGCGATTCATTACTTTGTTTGGTTTCTACCATCTCTATATTTAACGTAAACATGTCTCTTTTATCAGAATAAGTATTTAATAGAGCACCTTTTAAATCTGCCCAATTTGATATTGTGCAAGATGAAATATTAACAGCTGCTTCACCTTTAATCTTTGCTAAGATACTTGACATCAGATATTCATTCTGAAAATCGTTAACATCAGCTGCATTATAAAATTTTTTGACTAATTTTTCACAAATTTCTAAAAATCTAGGAAGTAATTGTGTATTCGGGTATCATATCTAAATGTTCCTTTTTTAGTACTGCCATTTTTAATTTTTGATTATCTTTTAAAATTTTAGCAATATTTATAGAATTTATAGAATTTATTAAAGACTTTGGGGAGTCTGAGTCAGAATCTGTGCTACTATTATCTGAATTTTCAGAACAATCTGAAGCACATTGATTAGTTTTACCTCTATATGACATAAGTACTTACAGCAAAATTAATATTCCTTCCATGTGTAGAACCAGCAAAAGATGCCACAATATTCACTTGTAGTGTTCTTTCTCCCTATTCCCGAAGTATCAAATGTCCTTTTGATGTCTTCTCGTTGAACTACTCAGTTCACCCAACTGGAATAGGTCAATGAATCGTTAATACGAACCGAAAATTATATCCACTAATCTCGTTTGACCTATCCTACTGACTGCGCCACTTAAATTCAAAAATGCCGTAAGGTAGTTTTTAAAAAATAATTTATTTAAAATAAAAACTGTGTTACTAAATAAAGGTGTTTAATGAACAAAATCGGATTCTAGACTGAATGTAATTAAAATGAAATAAAACAATATGTTATAAAAGTGCAAATGTGAATAAACTATAAAATGTCTATTAAGCAAACTGACACTTGTATCTATGGGAAGCAAAGGTTAATGTTCTTGGCGGCTTCGTGACACTGTACACTATAACATTCATGTATATTATTATTTATATCCTTACATGTACATCCTCAAGAAATCATCATACACATTCGTAAATCGTTCTTTTTGTACACCTACATGTTCATTTGTTTACCTATCGGGGAATGCATTAACGGTGTTAAAAATAGAAATATCTAAAAAAAGAGGAAGCTATATTTGGCCGATTGCGCATAAAGCAGAAAAGGGATTTTCTCTTTGAAACGAATCCAATAAATTATTCATCCATCGTTAGTTTAATGTAATGGAGAAAATCAATAGGTAGTCTTTTACAAAATAGACCCAACTTATTCTTTTCAACTGTTCCTCATTTCATTACTCAAATTCACTTCGACACCTTGAAAATTTCTTTGTAACCGAAGGCTCTTCAGAGTCGGATAACCCTGCAAATTTACCACTAAAAGGCACAGCTCGTACGGTCTAATGGACCATTAAAGATGGCAGCCATTGTACCAATATTATTTTCTCTGCTAGTCCCTTCACTTGTCACAAGGATTGGGTCTATTGCACGAAACCATTAAAATTAATGAGATGAAAATAGTGCCTGAAATTTGAACGAGCGACTGATCATTAATATTTAAACTGGATTTTTCAGTTCGCTAGTTTATTCATTCATGAGTAATGCCGTAGTGAGATTTTTTTTTAAATAGCGATGAGTTTTTGTAAAAAGTGAGATTTTCAATCTAAATCTGGTCACTAATAGTATAAAGTTTATAGGTTTCCATTTCCATATTGTCTGATATTGTCTGATAAGATAAAAGCATTAGATATAAAGGTTGCCCCGCACGTAAAAACGAAAAGTATTAACTAAATTTTGTAAAATGGGAGATTCATCGACCAAATTAATTCTAGACGAAATTAAAAGAGCTAAGGAAGAGTTGACAGAGGTCATAGAAGCTAGTGAGGTAAGACTTCGATTATAAATAGAAGAACAAAATAATTAAATAAAACAATTAACTGAAGAAAATAACAAACTAAAAAAGAACATCGAAAGGCTAGAATCAGAAAATAGAAAACATAATATTGTTATCTTTGTGCTCAATAAACCTGCTGGAAACTTATCAGTCGATTTGATTTGTGAAAAAATAAAATCGATTTTAGGTATAGATATTACCACGAAAGAAAGAAATAATTACTACCCTATTGGAAAAATAAACAATCCACCAATTAAAGTAGAATTAACTACATTTCTACAAAAAAAGAACTGCTACAAACTAAAGAATATAAATATAAATATCTCAAAGGATCTTATAGAGCAACAACGTGAAGAACAAAAAATACTTAGATATTACCTAAAGCTAAGAGAGGAAGAAAATAGATACGAGAAGTATTTTATCAGACGAAATAAATTAGTTCTTAACAATCAAACATTTACTGCAGAAGAATTGCTCGACTTGGAAAATAGTGAGTCATAGAAAAACTTAGCCAACTTTCCTTTCTTAGATTTAACCTTTTAAGAGGAATGATTTTAAAACCAAGAAGGTTTATTTATTTTTTTGCCTTTGGAGACATAATGAACTTTTCGTAGCCAGTTATATAATGTTTAACTGTATGTAACTGGTTACTTAAAGTAGATCATCTTGGCACTTGTAATTACAAAAATTTCACTTTTGTATGTGAAAATTAAAAATAAGTATTTTTATTTCTTTTCAATGTCCCTATTTTTGCAAAACGAATACAGAAATTTAGAAGTTATATATTCAGCGAAATACAAATACTTCAATTAATAAATGGCCTATTTATATATCAGCTAACGGAAGTAATACTAAGATATTTTCGTTTCCGTTTCAAAAAAAAAATATGGTGTTAAATCAAAATGATTTATTTTCCGTTTAGATTCTTGCTATAAAATATGAATTAGAATTTTCAGATTTTCTGCAGAGTGAACACGTAGTATCCATTTTTTTAATTTAGAATCATCTATGCATACGAAATAAGCAACATAAGTAACAGAAAACAAAATATAACGCCAGCTTTGTTGGAATTATTCACGAAATGGCACAAAAGAAAATCCGTATCCAGGGTTGATACACACAAGAGAAGAATTTTATTAGAGCTCTGCTTGGCTCAAAAGCCAAATATTATTAGAGAGATTACTGCTAAAGATTTTTTAATGTACACGAAAATATTTCTTTTACTATTACCATTCAAAACACTATTTTATCTATCAAATACTCCGGCAAAGTTGACAGTTTCTCACATTACTGCTAAAAAGTGCAAAGAAAGTGACTTAAGCGTGCGCCTGCCTAGCTTTTTACCTTATACCTAGTTTTAAACTAGGTACTACCATTGAATTAGTTCTTAATACAATTATGGCGATTATTCTACTATAGTTCTTTATACAATGGTACTATGAACGAACTTTGATTTTGCTTACTTAGTGCAGATGGCGTTACTTTGTAACTTGTTACCCTCACACAACCACCGGCCATGAGAGCGAGGAATTGTAACGTAATTACGGCATATTACAAGTCGTCGTCGAGCAGCATAGGGGCACAGTTGTGTAGAAGTGGAGTAGGTAGATTGACACCACTTACCTAAACAACTAAGGTGACAATTGTAGCGGTATTTAAATTTATTTTATTTACCAATAAGGAAGTATTCACATGTGAATCATCCACCGACATTTAAGCGACCGAACGATCTGTAATCGTTAAAGCAGAAGCAGCGTTCACCCAATGTGATAAAAATCACAAACGACGACAAAATTAGGCGAAAGCCGAATTTTTCGAATTGAAATAATAACACATCTATTTCAGGATGGCACCACCGCCAGGCCCATCGCCTAGGCAATTGAAGAAAAGCATCAGAACATTAACAGAATATATGAAGGCAAGATTACCCAGAATCAGAAGACAGCAACAATGAAGATGATACCAACACAATGAAATCTCGCATCAGATATCTGCAACGCGAGAATCAAAAACTAAAATAAGAAGCAGCTGAGGCTGCAGCCATGGATTTTTTTAGCAACGAAACATCAGGTGAAAGCGCGGACAAAACCGAAAAAGAACAGAAAAAAGAAGAAATGAGAACATGCGAAGACAAAAATGACTTCGAAACAGTCATTTCCAAAAATCATCGAAAGAGGCTAAACAAACAGAAAAGGAAAGAAGCTTCTCATAGCAAATCGCAGAAGGAGACAGAGGTCAAACGCCAGATAACTGACGAAAAGACACGTCAACCTGATGAACCCCAACAAACAATCCAAACGACGACCTATAAAATCCCACCAATTCAACTCATCTTCAAGAGCTGGACCGAAGTAAGGACTGCACTAAAAGAACAGCAGATTAAAACTGGAAAGGCACTGTTCAGAAACGACGAAGTAGCAATATGGCTAACAACCTCAGACGACTACAAGAAAACCACTGCCTATCTAGATACGATAGGTAGCAAGTTTTACTGCAATAAATTAGAAGAAGACAAACCATATAAAGTGGTTAAACGAGGCTTACCGGAACACACTCCGGTAAACAAACTCTTTGAAGAACTCACCGATTTCGGACTAAACTTGATGAAAGTACAAGGAATGATCTCAAGGAGAGACACAAGGAAACTCCCGATGTTTCTCGTTGACATCAAACCCCAAGAAAGAAACCTTATCAAGGAATTCAACAGATGCCAAGGCTTAGTAGTTCGAGTAGAACCATTAAGAGCACCAATAGGACCTACTTAGTGCTATAGATGCCAGGAATTCCACCATGCCCAGTCAAATTGCCGAATCAGGTGTGTAAGATACGGAAAAGACCACCGAGCAAAAGAGTGCAAAAGACGAAAGGAGACCAAAGCCGACTTGCGCAAACTGCCAAGGACCGCACTTAGCAAACTACCGAGGATATCCAAGAATGCCCAAAGCCATCACCAGAACAGCTCCTACTGTCTCAGGAATGAGCCTATGCTGCGACAACAAAACCTCACAACCCGATTATGATGAATAACCCAAATACCACTAAAAACCCGATTACGACTAAAATCCAAAAGGCGGCGAAAAAGCAGGAGAATATTCAAAAACTCCTGGCACTTTTTGAAACTCTCATGAAAGAAATAATGGACTAATTCACGTGAGTTTGCTACAAACTTTATTTCCCCTCAACAGATGACCAACAAACAACACACGATCGACTGTACTCCGTTGGCCCGGCTCGTACTACTTAGGGTGACAAGTTGGGCTCACCTTAAACGGTCACAAAACACGAGATGTAGTAAACACGAATGCCAAACACAAAGATGATGCCAGATTTACAAGATTATCTAAGAATCTGCTAAATAATGATTATGTCAACTTTCGTGCCCATTTGAAAGTATGACATAAAAATCTGATAAATTTTATCACCTGAGGACCTTGCAGATATGGCTTTGATATTTATTTTTCCATTTTCCCTCTATAAAAGGGAAGTATAAACGTAAAAAGTCACTGTTTAAAAACTTTGTTTATATATTTTGTTTTATCAGTGTAGATGCACTTTGATTATTCTTTGTGACATAATATAATAACTGACAATTATTAAAAAAGAAATGTCGCCAAGTCAAGAATTATAATAAAAGATTTATACAGTCCGCTTACAATTATTTAACTATTTGAACCAGCAGTTTATACTTTAAACAAAAATTTGCTCCAATCGAACCGGATTTCAAGAATTTCTATTTTCAATTTTCGACAACAAAATTAAGAAGTCCTGTCGACCAGCACAAGATATAAGTACTATATTGAGATGGGCGAATAGATGGTTGGAAAACGTTCAATTTAAAGTATTTTTTCAATTTAATCACAATTTAATATATAAGTTCAGGATTTTAAGGTATTTCTTTGCAGATTTGAAGATACCTTAGGCAATTTTTAAAGCTATTTAACAAAGTAAACTTGTACTTGGCCATTTAACAATTTATTTGCTATTTAACAGTCTATTTCACTATTTATTTGATATTATCATCAGTCTATTTACCGATTAATTGCTATTTTCAGTCTATTGAACGTGTATAAAAAGTATTTTTGTTCTATTTCAGGAATACTTTTTCTAGATTATACATGTTTTGTAAGAGTTTCTATTTTTTGCATATAAGGTATTTTTAATCAGTGAAATATACCTTTCGAGTTTGTCAACTATTAACACTATTTCAATTTTAGTATAATTTCCTTTATCATTTTGGAAGGCAATTTTCTCCATTATATAAAGACAATTATTTTTTCGCTATTGAACTATTTTACATGTGAGGTCAATATATGCTTGTCATGTGAGTATTCTATTTGAAGAACTGTGTATTATTAAATTCTATTGCTATTTTATTTTTTAACAAATCAAGTTTCGATTTGATTCTATTTCATTGCTTATTGACTATTGCTGTTGTTTTCATTAAAGATGACAGAGGAGCTTAAAAAATTAGTACGAAATCGAGGTACTATTAAACAAAAATTATCAGTTTTGGAAAAGTTTATAAATAAAGTTAAAACCTCGGTTCCTGAAAGAAAGCACAGTTTAAATGATGTTGAACTACGATTTAAAAATAGTACTATTTTGCTCAAAGAGTTTGACCATGTTCAGTCAATAATAGAGTCTTTGTGTGAAGAAGCAGATTTAGAAATCCACTTTAAAGAACGAGAGGATTTCCAAGAGAGATACTATATTACTCAAGATTTTTTAACTCAATATATACAAGGTGAACGTAAACCTAGTGTAGAGGAGAGTGGATCTGATACAGATTTGAGGGAAACTCCTCTTAGCCAGGTCAATTATGCAGCACCTACTGTTAACTCGGGTTCTAATTTTGATTGTTTGCAAAATGTTTTATTGCCAAAACTTTTTCTGGAAATTTTGAACAATGGCTTAGTTTTAAACTCAATTTTTCATCTATTATTGATGGTAACAACAATTTAAACGATTTACAAAAGTTTCAGTTCTTAAAAGCTTCCTTAGACGGTTATGCTTCTAGATTTGTTGAAGATCTAGAAGGGGTTGATAACCCCTACGAACAAGCCTGGCAAAATTTATGTAACAAGTTTGATAAAAAACAATTTTTGCTAGATACCCATTTCCAACAATTATTAAACGTTTCACAATTAAATAAAGAAAGTTTTTACAATTTTAGTTTGATTTTAGATCAAATTACAAAACATTTAAATGCCATTGAAAGTTTAAAACTGAATCCGAAACTATTATATGATTCATTGGTTATCCACTTATTGTCAAGTAAACTAGATAAAGTAAGCTGAAGAGAATAGAAGGAGTGTGAATATGACACTGATTTACCTTCTCTTAAAGAATTTCTTAAAAATAAAGTCGACTTATTGCAGTCTTTAGAACAGTCTTATTCCTTATCATTAGGGAATAAAAAATTCAACAAAAATAAGTACTCTGATCATTCTCAATTACATCTTTCTGTCGATAACACAAAATCTCATGTAGTTAATTGTAATTTTTGTAAAAAAAATCACACAATTTACAAGTGTCAAGATTTTTTAGCCTTATCAATATCAGAAAGAATAAGCAACGTTAAACGTCTTAATTTATGTTTAAATTGCTTACGGACCGGTCACAGCCAAGACAAGTGCTGTCTTTGGCCATGCAAAATTTGTAAAAGAAGTAACAAGATTTTAAAACACAACACTTTGCTTCACCTTGATGGTGACGTTTCTGGTAGAAGCCGAGAATCCCAAAGTATAAACATGTTAGTTAGACCTACGGTTACGCATTAATCTCAAATTCTTTTGTCTACAATTATATGCAAGGTTAAAGATTCTGATGGCAATTATCATGATTGTCGAGCATTATTAGATTCTGGAGCACAATCTAATTTAATTACAGAAATGTTTTGTAAAAAGTTAAACCTTAATTGTACTCCATCCAATTTATCAATTATGGGGATAAACCAGATAGTTTCTCAACTTAATAAAAGGTGCGAGTTGTCAATCTTTTCAAACACATCCAATTATAATTGTACAATTTCTTGCTTTGTTTGTCCTGCTATTACTAGCAATATTCCTTCATACCATATCAATGATGTTGAAAGATGGAATATACCTAAAGGTCTTCAGTTAGCAGACCCAAAATTTTATATTTCTAGGGAGATAGACCTATTAATAGGAGCTAGTCTATTTTGGGAATTAATATTAGACGGCAAAGTACAATTATCTAATAATCTTCCCAGTCTACAAAATACTCTGTTCGGTTATATTGTTTGTGGAGTATTACCTTTCTCAAGTCAATTAACATCTACATCTATTTGCAACTTTTTCAAAGTACATATAGAAGAGGATGAACAATTAAAAAAGTTTTGGGAACTTGAAGAAATTAAAGTTAACATTCCTTTAGCTAAAGACGATTTAGAGTGTGAAGAACAATTTAAAAATAATACCTTCAGAAATGACGAAGGTCAATTTGTGGTGAAGTTTCCACTCAAGAACTCTCCTTCTATGTTAGGCAAATCTAAAGGAAATGCTATTAAACGTTTTTTATCTCTTGAAAAGAAATTTAATGATAACAATTTTAAGAAACTTTATTATGATTTTATTCACGAATATGAATCTCTAGGTCATATGACCAAACTTTCCAATGAGGTTGAATGTTCAGAAAACACTTCTATTTCATATTTCTTGCCCCATCATGGTGTTTTGAGAGACAGTTTAACAACGAAATTAAGAACTGTTTTTGACGCTAGTTGACCTGGACCAAAATTACAAAATGATATTACTGATATTTTATTACGATTTAGATTTTACAGGTATGTAGTGTCAGCTGATGTATTGAAAATGTATCGTTGCATTTTAATGCATCCAGATCATAGATCTTTGTAACAAATTCTATGGCGTGAAAACCCGAAAGATGAGTTTTCAACGTATCAGTTAAATACAGTTTCTTACGGTACACGGTCAGCTCCTTACCTACAATTCATCAAATTTCTAGAGGTGTTCGACGCCCAGACAGAGAACGCGCTACGTGTGACTAAGATAGCTATTGTACAGTCTGCTAAACAAGTTATTTTAAATAGTTTTTAATATTTTTAGGTAATTAAATTTTAAAAGTGTGGAATAGTTTAGGGATTAAATTGGTCTGCTTGGACTTTCTTAGAACGTTTTTAAAAGCAGCTAAAGATAGTATGTAGAATTGAAAATAATTATTATGCCATAAAAGGTGTTTTGGTATTCCTTCAACCTTTTTGAAATTGAGTCAAAAAATATAAATTTTATAGGATAGCGGAAAATACCTATAATTTTTTTGTAGGCCTTTGTAAATCGTAGAAATAGTTTATATTTTATTTCTACCTTATTAAGGAAAATGGTACCTATTATTAATAACGGTTGTTTCTGAAACATTACTAAAATTTTCGAAATTTTGTTTTTCTACAAAATAATAAACTATACTATTTAGAAAAAAATTTATTTCTCTTATAATTTTATAAAAAATAACAGGGGAATATTTACATTTCTTGATCTATTAAACAAAACGATAAATTATCTCGACGAATGACACCATGTTCTAGTACGGAAGCTAGCTTTACATTTTTGTTGGTGGTTTCATGGGTTTC